AAATGTGTTCTAATGCAAACTTACAGAGTTCTTTGGTAAAAATGTGAAAACCATATGTTTAATACTTCGTTTTCAAATCCTCCATCAATTGTCTTAAACTTCATCATTCATTCATTGGCACAACAATTACTCTCTGTTCCCGTTCTCTTCGATTCAATTTTCCCCAACCAAGTTTTCCACTTCTAATTGTTGTTACTGACTACTTGTGTCTGTCGGCATAAGTAGCACACACCACAAAATGATTAATATAACAAGTTGAATTTAAAGAGAATTGAATTGAAACAGTCGCATCTAGCTTATTTTAGAATTGTCTTAATTAATGACTTAACTACTTAGAGTTTACAAATAAATACTATTGGCACAGTCATTGATTGATTTGAATGATTATGTGATAATAATTTTGAACGTCGTTGTATAAGCCTTAAAATTGCGGTGTGTCAAATAAAAGCGTAAGATCATCATGTAAAAAAATGACAGGTATGTCTTAGTAGTATGTAGCCTGACCTAGACGGTTTACTTTGCAAAATTTAAAGTACATCAATATGATCCCCTTTCAAAATATACTTCCTTTTTTAAATGCATTTTTGCTGTACCAATTTTCATTGTCTGGGATATCACCTTAAACATTTCTCAGAAGTTGGACCGTTTAGTCATTCTCTTCATTTCATGTTTCATGCATTCAACACAATCTCACTATCACTCCCGAGTGACTTTTTTCATTTCGATAGATAAGGAAATATTACTGCCCCGAATCTCGTATAAAGTAGGAATGAAGGAAGTACAATCCAGAAGCTATCGGAAAATCACTGCTGAATGTGAAGGTTCATAATCGAGCAATTACCTATCAGGATGTCAAAAATGACACGTCAAACGCTAACTCCACTTGTAATAATTACATAGCTACTTAACTGACATCAAGTCACAACAAAGTAGCATACAGATAAATTAACCAGTAAACTTGCGGTGTCCCATATCAGGCATTCGTAACTGATATGATAGAATCAAAAGAGCAAGGTATAGTTGGTGTAAAAATGGATCAGCATGATAGTTCAAATCATTATTCATATAACAAGTTATTGATTAACTATTACCAAATACTACTCAATCAAATTATACAAATCTGATTGTTTATCTGACTGTACGTAAACAATATAAAAAGTAGTGTATTCACATATCATTTTGATGTAGTTCGGGTTTCAAACAAATCCTGATTATCAGTCTTTAGATATTTTTCACTACGCACCGTCTGATTTGAGCTCTCAGTATCAAGTACAAACCAGCTAAGCACAGCCCCAGACACAATTAATGACGGACATAAAAGTGGCGATTTGTAATAGCGTCATTTAAACACAACAGCACCTGACGGAGGGTCAACCTCCAATCACTGTAATTCGTTTGGCTATTACCATTTTATTGATAGCATTTTCCTGAGGTAGCAAACATTTACTGGAATAAACAAACGGTCTAAATAAAAGTTAGGATAAAATGCTAATTGAATTGTAGGTATCCATGCCAAGGTTGAACTTCACAGTTTCAAACAAATTGAGCAACAGGTAGAAAGTTTATGATAAATATATTTTCATGATATCCCAATTAATAGAACATTTGTATTTCTCACCGTTCGTAACTTCATGTAAGTCACTGCTTCACAGTAATTAAATAACCGAAATGTACTTAACACAAGTTTGAATAATGTGAAGGAAATAATGCAGAATATTTCTAGTACAATCAAAATCATAATACGTCTGAACATGTCAATGTCAAGTTATTTTGGTCAAGGTGATTCTGTATGACATGTCACTTTATTAATTTGTGCGTAGGGTGGTGTGTAAGAAAATGTGTACTTTTGTGATATAAAATAGTGGTGTTGAAATTGTGTGTGTGTGTGTGTATGTGTAGATTACTAATCAACGTCATCATCTAGTTTTTTCTTCTTCCCATAATCTTTAAGAGTAATATATACTGTGAAAAACTACAACTGAGAAATTCTAAACATCATGACAGTAGAAAACAATTCAAAAATCAATCATTTTCAAAAATACTAATATTCATAAATAAAAGAAACTATTCTCCTTGTACTGATCTTAAGCGATCAATTAATTTTCTCATGATATTGTACTTCGCTTATGGTACGTTTCCTTTTTCATATGTTTGTTGTAACTTACCGAAACGTCTAGAGAATAACACTCTTCTGTCTCATAAAGCAGAACAGTTCTTGACTTCGCTCACCGGGGCACCTGAACGTTTGAAATGTAATGATGTGTAACATTTCGTTAGTGTTCATTGATGAGGAATCACAAACTACAATAAGCTGGTGTTCGGTGTCTACATGTATATATTCATATATATGATAATTACGAAGTTATTTTTATGGAACTATAATGACGAAAGAACAGAAACATCAAAATGAACTCGGGATTTTGGAACCACCTTCGGACAATGGGTGCGGAGTCTGTTTACACCAAAACAATTCGAAACGGCAGTAAAAAAAAAGTTAATTTGTAGTGGACTTAAAAAGCATATTAGTTTCTCAAGTTTTATCATTAGTTTTCCATCTTAACACCATATACTACCTCATTTATTTGAGTGTATATATATTAAAGCTAGAGGATTCCTCTCTGAGTCTTTCTCCCAGTCATAAATAGTTGTATGAATAATTCACCATCGGCTATAAAATCTTTAACCAAATGAAGTTTGAAGACTACGATATAGGGAGTTCGTTATCTAATTCAGCATTCCTGCTTCACCAGTATGTTTATTATTAGGTGAACTATTTTTGGTGTGATTTCTTTGAGAATTTACTATGAACAAAGTAAACTGAAATAAAAATCCATTTATTCACGTGTGATGTACAATCTACATAGAAAAAGTAAACATTTGTTACATTTAACACAGTAATCTTCACCCAATTATGATAAAAAAGAACCTTTCCTGATAAATTTTATTGTTTTGTACACTAAACAATGGTCTTTCTACTGCAAATTTTGTGTGATCCAATGAAATTCATTCATTTTAAATGTCAACCAAAAGCTGGCAAGTAATTTATTCGATTCTAATTGACTTATCTGTGAATTGTAGTTCTACCAGCAACTTCTTTTAACTATCAACGGTTTACATGTTAAAAATGTGTATAGCAAGCATTTGAACAGAAAATATCCAGTTTTAAATAACATGTTTTTAAAATGTGTTTCAGAATATCATGTCTATACATGATAAGCGTCAAATGAAAAGCAAAAGTCAATCAAACTAAATCATATTGGTTAGACAAGCATCGAAAGCCATAAATGATTGATCAGCTGTTTTATCCCAGTATGAGACTCCTCAGCACAGTTCATCCACGACCCCAATCAGTTCGTGATATTACGTAGCAATCATCCAATGTGATTAATAGATAACTCCCACACTCTTGTCATATTCGAACCCCACTGATCGCAACTTATTTTTTCTAGAGAACCGATTATTTTAAATAAAAACAAATATGTCAACTAATCTACTATTTTCACATCAACTATGTTTGAGGAGTGGTTTATTTTGAATTTTACAGTAAAATACAACATGGAGTATCTAACAGTAACCAAAACCTTCTTCATAAGTGGATTTTTTCCGTCTACTTCAACACCAGTATACTTCGGTTCATAAGTAGGCATTGAAACCAAACTTTAAAAAGAACTGTACGTAACAGAAATATGATAACAGGCAATCAATGCAAGATATAAATACATGTGTATATTGATTATGTATGCATAGCATTTACTGCAATAATCAAATCCCAAACTTGAATCGTGTTTTATCTGCTTGAGTTAAAGCAACCGGATATTATTAATAACCGTTGTACAAGGACTCCATATTAAAACTAAGACCAAAAATCGATACTTTATAAGCTAGATAAATAGTGTATAAATTTTCATATGACAAAGCAACCTATTCGCTTTGTAATAAATTGCTATCTAAAATTCACTGTATGATAAAAGTAGAAAACACTTATGATCATTAAAAAAAATCATTAAAAAATGTAATTAATAATTTGTGGAAAACTTTTCCATATTTTTGAAAATTTGTTTTCATACTTTACTCCATTCTTCTGCTCTTATAAAGAAAAAAACACTTTATCACAGGACAAAAATGAATAATGTTCCGCTTGAATAAATTCAATAGTGAACTTTAAAAAAAATTTCATTAAATCGTTACCTTTTTTCATTTGCTCGCTTTTTTTCTTTTTTTTTCAAAGAAAAAAAAAGAAAAGAAAACTGAAAATAATCGGTGAATATAATGAAATTTATCAGTGTCAATATAAAAATAATTCATAAGTCATAATTATCCATAAGTATCAATGTGAAGTCAAAGGGAATATACCTGATATATTTCTATTACAATATTTGATTTTGACGATAAACAATTGTTTAGTATTCCCATAATTTTGACAGTTCACCTGTTGAAGTTGCTCGATGCTAAAAAAAATAATAACTTTTTTAAAATAGAAATTCTAGTACTTTTAATTGTAAAATAAAATTATGTTTCAATAATTTTTGAATACTGTTAATATTGTAGTGAGTAATGTTTTGAGTGGCATTTAAATGAACATTACCGACGTTAGTTGCAGAATATAAAGTAAAAAAAATCAATGAATATGATCAAGTTGTAAACTTGTAATGACCGAGAATATGTGTATTACTCATGATTAAGTCTAACTTATATTAATAGTATGATAGATGAATATAATCAAAGGAAAAAATGCTTCAAACATATATTTTGTATCATGTGACACTCTTCAAAGATATAAGTCAGTAATCTTGAAGAAAAAACAATACTTCTCCCGTGTGACTTGAACTCGTTTGGTCCACCGTCACATTCATAGATTTTAACAATGACATATTAGAACAGTGACTGATTTTCTGTAAGATGGAAACATTTTTCACAGATTGATCACTGAGTAATAAACAATTTCTTGTTCTAGTCCTTCGTACTGAGTCGATGCCATGTATAAATTGAAGTCGTGGCTACTGGTCTATGCTGTACTAGCTGCTGTATAATGAGAATGGAAGAAAGTTCCGTATGGTTCATTCGAAATATGACGTCAATTTCCTGAGCCCCAAGATTAATAAAGTCAGAAATCCATTAGTCTGTCATGGTCATTAGTTGAATGTTTACTTAATAATATAACTCAAAACTAGTCATTGTGTTGCATTTTTACGTATTTTATCTAACTGCAAATTATGGATTACTCGTTTTCCACCACTGTTTAGGGATGAAATTTAAAAATGTAAATAGATACGTCGCTGCCCTGACACACTCCATACTACTTCTCTCTTTTCGTGGTAAGTGTCAGTATGTCCAGAATTTCTCATATATTTATAATTATGTCGATATTATAAGTACATTATTCATGCATTATATACATACGCGTTCGCGCGCGAGACCAATAGGTTCTGGGTTCGAATCTCGCGAAGCGGAATCGTGGATGCTCACCGTTGAGGTGTCCCACAATAGGACGAAGCGGTCATCTAATGCTTCAAGGTTTTCCATGGTGGCTTACCTTCAATTGACTCATGATCTTAACTATCCACGAAATCCCTTCTGATATATATTTTTTATCATTAACGGATTTATGCCTATCAGGAAGACATACCACCACGGCATTAAAGGGATAACCACATAATAAAATAATTAACTAATGATTGATACGATCTTACTGTTGTGAGCAGGATTTAAATGTTCCTTGTAAATCCACATAATCATATGAATTTTTTGTAACTGATTATCCAACCCCTTACAAATAGTATCACTACTCGAACTGTACTCTCATCTATCGCTAAATTGAGGTCGATTATTTTCGATATAATTTAAAAAATTTGGAATTTTTATGAGTAAAGCGTCACGTTTCACTCCAAATGATTTGAGAAATGAATTTTTAATTATTGTTTTGTAGAGTTTTGACTCAGTAGTTTGAACACAACCTTCAATAGCCGAGTTAAAATTTGGAAAATCAAGCCATCTCACTCTATTGCTTCATCATAATCAAGTACTGTTTCAAAAGAGATGTATGATCAAATAAACGCAACTAATGTATAATTTTCTTCAAAAATCGTACTACACTGAGGTAAGTATTTTATATAAACATGCCTTATATTACATTGGTTCCTTCAAGCGAAATCATAAACCTCTCCTTTTGCTTCACGTCACCATCTGATAAATCTCGGCAATATGACATTCGATTAGGAGGTTTGTAAGGATTTTAGCGAAATTCATCTAATATCATCTATGGATAAATACCTCACTCCCAACTTCCAAAAAACAAGGCAAATTTTGATGACAATGGAAACAGATTGTTCATACTTCCAACTTCAATCAATTGGCTATGTAAGGCTACAAATTTCGATAAGAATGCCTCATTAATGGTGATATTATGGATTTACTGAAGTTGGAAATTTGAACAAATCTACATTAGCGCAGTAGTCTTCAAGTTTCATGATGGGTCTCCAGTTGACTTAGTAAATGACGAAAATTATCTTCAAGTATAAAATTCTTCTTGGCTCAAAATTAAATATAACACATTATTTAGTTTTTTATCAAAGAAAAACAAGCTATTTTTAAGTAGTATAAAATTTCACCTCATAGGTTCACATCAGCAGTCGTGAAATTTTAACAGTGGGCAAGCAATATCGGGGTACTAAACATCGGGAAGTGATTAATTAGATAAAAATAGATCCTCTAAAAATAACTTTGGTGTACTGATGAATCATTTTGCAGTCAGTTGCAGCAAACTTCAGTGCATATTTCAATAAATTCATGTATTTTCATGATGTCCCAGTGTTTGCTTACCTATTTTAATACGAACAGCAAACCTACCATCTTAATGTGATACAAAGAATGTGTACAATAACACATTCCAACTTAGTTGTACCTATGCATAGCTACCTAAAACTAGAAAACAAAATTTCATATAATGCATGAAAAACCATCAGTATAGTTTCCACGTGAGTTATTCCAACTATTTTGAAAAAGAATAGAAAGCATGACATTGAAAATCACCAACCCGATAAATAGTCACTAAAGTCTTAACCTCTCTCTGTACATTGTAAGCTCTAAAGGTTTAAATTAAATTTAAAGAGTCATTTAGTGAAGTATTTTTAGTTCAAGATGTGCGAGCCATTTACAGTTTACCTGTAATTGCTGGTACTATGTCAGGCCCACATAGGTTATTCTAGACTCTGTACAGATCAATTTATCCATCCTTATTAAGTCACATTTTGACCTTGTTAGTTATTCGCTTATTAATCCTGTTTTTTATATAATCGTATGTGTGCTAATTGCCTACCTTACTCATTATGTGTCTGTAACTTATTTTTGTTCTACCATATATATCGATTCATGCTTGACTAAATTGAGTTCACTTACTTACCTTCTCCAGTGTCTATCATTTTGCTTAGCTTCACTTTTCGACCAAAGATTACGAAATATACGTATTCAAAAGTCCATTCTCGTATTTGTCTTATTTAATTCCCTTATTTGTCAACACGATTCAAGTCGATGATTACATACGAGGATTGGCGATAAACATATTTCGATAACAGGCAAAAACGATCATTCAGGAGTCAGATATAGAGCCACTAAATACCAATGTGTTTGCTAAAAATTATTAGCTGCCATGGAATACAATGCTGATTAACATTATAAGGTTACAATAATTGTGAGTGGTACGTAATGTTTGGTATCACTCTTATAAGTGTTCCCTTCATTTTTCATACATGAAATACTCTCAAAGGTTCGTAATTTTATATTATGAAGATTAACGACTGGAACCGGCAAGTCTCTCTTGGAATATATGCAAATAGACCAAAATCCTAGACTTTACAATTTCTGCGATAAGCTTTCAGTACATCTAAGTTGTGATTAGTAACAGAACCCAAGTTGAAAGTTTCGGATTATTTGAGACTCGTCATCTAGACATATCTCTATCCCAGGGTTTGTTAAGATTTCACATAGCTGCACGGAATCAAAAACATTTAGCATTTTTTGTGAGGTAATTTTCAATACATCATACTCTCTTCAACACTTACTTATACTGGGTTTTGTTACATCTGCGGTATGTTAAGGAATCAATCGGCTGTTGTTAAAGCTACTTATTAAAATTGTCGATTTCATAAAATTCTCTCTTATTAAACAAGATCATACCTATAGCATGTCTCATGAATAGACTTTTGAAAAGTCAGTTCATTCTTCTTTAAATTTATTTACTATATCAACCCAAAAACGTCATTAAAATTGACTCCCCCGATTTATTTATACTACAATCTACTCTTCACGACAAAATTTAGCAATATACTTCCGGTCGCATTGACAGCTGCTACCATATATTAACTACTTTATTATACCTAAAAAAATTTTTATCCTTAGTCTCTGTCATGAACAATAATTGTAAAAACCTTTTAATGCTTTTTTTAACCTCATATTTTATAGATAAATAAATATGTATACAAACAGCTCACTCCAAAATGATAAAAGAGATATGTGTGGATACAAAAGCAAGAAACGTCTTTCTTTTGATAAGAATTCTAAACAAAATTCGCTTAAGTCTTCTTTACCCATACAATTGGATCATGTTGATCAGTATTATTATGAATTAATGAAATTGTATTCAACATCAAAAAATTGTGGTGAAAACTCTCAAACCTCTGATTTTTATCGGCAGAAACCACTTACTACTACATTTATAAGTAGTTCAAATTATTCAGCAGAATTTCAAAACTCAAATCTACTCTGTTGTCTCTGTTGTAGTGAACATGATTACAGTAATCATGATAAAAATATTGTTCATTATTTGAGCATTTGTTGTCATTCACAGAAAATACAACGTATTATACATCATCTAATACTAATTTTATTAGGTATTTCAATAGTTTTGTCTATAATACTCTCTTTACTAGGTATTTTTTTAAATTATCGCGCTTGTTTAACAGCTGGTTGTATTCTAGGCATAGCGAGTTTTGGTGCGTTATTGCACAGTTGTTTAAGGCATCGTGCATTGCCAAATTCATCGATGCCAATTATATTAGGCCAATCATATATGCATCCTATAGTGAATAATATGCCATTATCAATGAATAAACTCTATAGAAAACACCAACAATTTCCTCAGAGACACCGACAATTGTTAAATTACGATTATTCAAAGAATGAGTTAAACAAACATTCATATTTTGCACCCAGAGATGGTTATTCTACTAACGACCAGGATTATAATAATTTTAAGAATAATCATGGTAAAAATATTCCAATAATAAGTAAAAGAAATCTAGATAAATTATGCCATACTTATCAATTACAAACTACCACTGATGTGGAGTGTAATCATTCAGGTAACAAAAGAAATATAGAATGTTCAAGTGAATCATCATCATTACCGTCAATGACATTGTCAGTAACAACTGTATCAGGAGACGTAGTGGTGACGACATCAGTAGCAATAACACCACCAACAACAACAAAAAACACAGTAGTCTCGTCACAAAAACTCAATGATGATAATAACAGCAATGTACAAAACATATCTCTACACAAGAATCCATTGAAGCATGATGATAAGAAATCACCAACTTTTATCGAATGTGAAATTTGTCGACCCAATTCATCACATCCCACGGATTATGAGTATCAAAGTAAGCATTTCAATTAATCAGCTGACTATCTATAATTTGAGTCGCGTGTGAATAAGGAATAGGAAGAAATGATGATAGGAATTTTCTATTAAAATTCTTTAGTCTTTGGAAATAAACTGATTTGCTATCAAGAGATCAGAATGTTTAGGACTTTATCTGATTATTGATAAATCTAGAAAATAATAAAACAAAACACATATTGTATGGTTCTTCTTTTATCATAATAAGTAACGTTGTTTAATCTGCTAACCCCTATTTCCAGCCCACTTCTATTCAGTGATAAGATGACTAACAGTCAAACAAGGAAGGACTTATAGTATCCGAAATGATAAAAAATTTTGGCAGAATATTCCGTTTATTATAGGTCCTTCTATAAACGACTCTACAAATTAACACGCAAACGTCTAGTTTATACAACTAAAAAACAAATAGTGATATATTGTTTATTCAACATCTTAACTATAATCCTTAATCTGCATGTTCATCTGAACGGATCTACTGAGGTGTACAAAGTTTCTAGACACTCGATCCTATCATTACTTTACTCAGTTTATTTCTGAACCAAATATTTTTTGTTTGATCTACAATACTACGTATTGATACTACTATTATGACTCCATATTTGATTGTCTGTTCAGATTATCCTACTATGAAATGTTTTGAGTTGTATGATGCATATTTGTACCAAAAGTTACGTTTTTATGATTGACAAATGATATAGATTACGACTATTTGCAGCAATTTTACTAGAAGTTTTGAAAACTTCGGATACATCATTATGATAACAGATATGTTTTATATAGCAACGGTTGACTTGTTTTTATAGAATCTACACATAATAAATAAATAAATAAGTTATATAAATTTTTTGGATTAAAGTTTAGAATACAGTTATATCATCATTGGTACATTGAATTAACAGTTTACATGAGCATATCAAACATCCGTAAACACTAATATATTAGCCAGTAATGTCTTATCAATCACATTTGTCATGGAAATATTTCGGTGAAACAAGATAACTGTATATAGATAGATAATGAAAAGTTCTTATTAGCTTAGATATTGCATAGTATATCATCAAAGGCCATCAAAGACACGGGGTTCAGATAACTAATGCTCTTGATTACACCGAATGATGTAGAACATGTTGACAGACACGACAGGAAACAGCTTCTACCTCTGACATGTTATGAAATTTTATCAGCTATTGATCATTAACCATTTATGAAGTTAGGCAGAATAATTTTTAACTCGAAAACAAAGATGTATTTGATGTAATTGAATAGTAACAACTGAAATGATCATTTCTATTCGGAAGTCTTTTCTAAGTCTCACGTGAATACCGAAGTGTCAATAATAATAATAATAATAATAATAATAATAATAATAATAAAGTTTATAGTCAGCTATTCTTGTACAATTACATTCCACGTAGAATGATTGCATCTTAATTAAACCAAATAAATGAATTAATAGATATATTCAAATTCGTCTCACACTGCATTAAGCCAATTTCAATGCCAATATTATTAACAGCTAAACAAATTGACGGAATACGTTAACTGAAACTAAGTATAGTTAGGACTGATATTAACTTTCGAGGTTAAGATGTTCCGCTTTACAGTAAAAACGTGTTTTATTGTTAAGAAATGTGACAGAGGTAGAATATAACTATTCTAACTATAGAGCTACAACATGAGTAATGTGTTAAAGTATTGTATATGTGAATAAAGTTTAGCAACTGTATCCAAAACGAGAAATTCAAAACAAGCTAAATAATTTTAAAATCATATTTTAAATTCTTGACGGAATAACCTATAAACAGACTTCTAACGAAACCTAAAAATAAACAACCTATTACAAATACTTTTCTTATATCTTCTTACCACGGGAACTATTGACTATTAATAACGTAGAATCTCAGGTTTAAATTACCTGCCATCAGTTAGCTTTCAAAGACAGAGAGAGTGGCTTCAAACATAGACTGTTGATATTATAAATCAACATTATATACTTTCGTTTGCTTAGTCTAAATTCATATTTTTAAAACATTACACTTTCCTAAAACATCTAAAGTATTAATGGCGGTATCATAACTTTTTGATTCTAAAAATGATTACGGATAATTGTATCAAAAAGAAAAGCTTGATATTTCATAGAAAACAAAATTTATTACTGAAAGGAAAAAGATATACTGGAAACAACAGAGGAATAAATGGTTAGGGAACAAATGACATATCCTGAAAGATAGCTGACCGAAAATCAGAATTATTGTAAATTTATAGTCTACCTATTTTGTTTACCCAGCATGTGTGGTCAACCTCAAATTTATAGAGCCATAGTTCTCTTCAAAATGTTTTTCCCTACGATGAACTCACCAAATCACGAATATAATAATTGGTCAGCATAACAGCATAAGTGTTCTGTTCTCTGACAGAATGAAATAAGTTAATTTTGTTGAATAAACTATGACATCAAATGAATTTTCACCTTTATTAACCAACATACCTAATCAACAATCTGCCGATACAGACTGTCATAATACCAATGTAAAACCTTGTGTAAATGATTAAAATGAAATGTATTTTGCTTATGTACGATAACTAGACTGAGATAGAATTCTGTAAAACTCTATCTCACCAAATTATTGATGAATAAATAGGCAATCCACTTGAACTTGGATTGGCTAGCATATTTATACTATGCTTGAGTGTAAATTTACTTGAAACTGAGATCAATGCTGAATCGTGTTGTACGCTCGTTTTTCAGCAAACGTCTGTTATCTTTCACAATTTATATTAATGTATAGAACGTAAAGAATTCAAATGAACTTCTGCATTCATCTGGAGATGGTCATCAACTATGTTGTTTATTAACAACGCTAAACAACTTATTTATTCATTTTATCTTTCATCTCGTAGACACTAATTTTCTCCTAGTTCAGAACACTACAGCTGTTTGAACCTAAAACTTTACATGAGACTGAGCTCAAAACCTTCAACTATCATAACAATCACAATATCACTAGACAGTGAGTCAGTTAATTATAATGTAACACGTTTAACTTTTACTGTCGTTTCACTTGGAGAAATACTAGGAAAACAATAACAGGACGACGTAATCTGCAAAAAATGATAATTTGATTTTTATGACCGAAATTCATTGATGCTTTATTAATGTCATTCCAACTCAAGAAAAATTTGTTACTGTGAATAAGTCAATTCGATTACCATTGGTTGGGGAAATATTTGATATTGCCACTTGACTGTAATTATACTAACTATGAATAGACTACTACCAAAAAGGCACAAATATATATGTGAAATGTATGAAGTAAACGATTTTAGTTGACTTTATGAGTCTTTTTTTCATGGTCAAACTTTTTTCTAGGACATACGACATTATACTCAGGGATGTGGGATAAAAAAAGAGTTTATAAAAGACGAATGTTTAAACTGAGCAGATTATTACTTTATTTTTTGATTGAGTAATTATGGACCTAATCCGTTATTCTCTTAATATATTTACAACCTTTATAGGAAATCATATGGATTATGTTCATTCAAACAATTTAGTCAATGAATCAAAGAATTATGTACCAAGATCCTCTTCACCATGTTCTTCAATTAAAGCTTCTTATGTACAACGATCACATTCTATGTATTCTGATTCATGTGATTTAAGTTTATCATCAGAAATCAAAGCAGAATCACAAGATCAAATCAAATATATGAGACCCATTCAACAAAACACATTTACTCATATACAACCAAATTCTTTAAATTCATATGACATTGAAGCTGATAAACAGTTTCATCCATATTATCCTGGAAATTCATTATTTGACGGCAAATCAAATCTCTTCAATCGTAATACTCATATTAATGAACAGTCAAAACATTTAAACTCTTTTATGATTTACCCAAAGTCTAAATCAAGAAATAAAATAATTTTAGGAAATTATTTAAATTTATTGGATGGATTATATCGTCATGTAAATCATTCACAGGGACCAAACTATTCTAGTGATCGTTTTAATGAAGAATACAACAGTGATATATTTGGTCCACGTGTATGGCTAAGTTGGAAAAATTGGGTAGATAAATAATGGAACTAGTTTCTTAGCATCATTATATGTGTATTCATCAATGTAACGTAACAAAGAACTAATTAGAAGATGTATAGTTAATTGAACTTAGTTGAAGAATCATTAGAAGCTGGACCAGAGATACTAGATGATTGTTGTCACGCATACGAAGTATCTCATCAGTACGTGCATACATTTCGTCTAACTTGGTATACATCTCTATCTTGTTTAAGCTCACATTACCACTGAATCGTTGGTCTGTATTACTTAAGACACGTTCGTTATGATCCAACGGTCGCTTGAAGTAATCCAGTATACCAAACTGTGTTTAGCTTTCTAGTTCACAGTCACTTTCCTGGAATAGTTGATTGAACAATGAAAATTAGTCGTAATATATCTTCACAGATAAATGTCATGAACATTCGATTTTATTAATTACAAACTTTATTCCAATTACAGCAGCATAACTTTCAGGAATACTATTTTGTCCATGGTGTGTATTTTAACAAAACTTTTCCTATAAATTTTCATTTCTAATGAAATATAATCCGAACCTATTTTTTTCTTGATAAATTTTTGTTAAAATACTTTTCGTTTTAAGATTTATGTACGTAACTAAAATAGAGAAGTAAACAGACTTTCCACTTTTATTTAAATAATTAGATGTCAGACAGTGAAACAGTAATAATAACCTAGTTACTTGGTTACAATTAGAAGTTCTATACACAAACTATAATATATTACAACAAATATCTCTACGATGTATAATTTATTTATAATTATGAGAAATTCGTGGCAAAAGAAATTTACTGTTGCGATTAATTAATTTTTATCTTTAATTCCAAAGGATCTTCAATTACTGCTATCTTGACATTTTTCACTGAAAGATGTATATATTCGCAATAAAGTATTGTAGACTATCTTTAACACTTTTTACGAATATGCTAATGCAACACGGTCTCATTTCATTAACCAAAGAAAAAAATATGTCGAACACTGCAGAGTTATTACTTAAGTTTTAGTTTCCTATAAGGAGGAATAGATTATAGGCTTCTTATAATATGACGTTAGTAAATAATCCAACTAAGCGAATCGTTATTCCTTACTATCTGGTTTTCTATTAATTTTTTTGGAAATATATAATTTCGATGGGAAATAGGCGCAATAAGTGTTTAAAAATGTCATAATTTCAATAGTTGAAATCATGAGTCCATTGAAGCTAGACAACCATGGAAAACCTGGAAGCCCTGGATGGCCGTTTCGTCCTAGTATGAGACCCCTCAACAGTGAGCATCCGAGATCCCGCACCGCGAGACTCCAACCCACCACCTATCAGTCTCGCGTGCGAGCGCTTAACCATTAGACCACTAAGCCAGCATCCAACGGTGTTAATGTCTAACTTCAACTAGTCCACGAAATTGCGCCACCATGCACCATTGGTTGAAGTTAGACATCTCGCGGGGGGCGGGATCGTTGGTGCGCACTGTCGAGGAGTCCCATACCAGGACGAAACGGCCATCCAGGGCTTCCAGGTTTTCCATGGTTGTCTAGCTTCAATGGACTCATGATTTCAACTATTGAAATTACTAAAATCTCCACAAAACCCCTTCTGATAATATCATAATTCATAACAAACAGCAGCCAAACATTCCTTTTCATCGCTATCATAAACGTAGAAAAACTATTTTGTATGAATTCAACACTCTTTAGGTTAATTTGCAACAGTGATGAAGACTGTAGGTGTAAATAGATAGCAATTTAGAGAATTAATAAACAAAAAGTTATTTGGATCTGATTTTCGATAATAAAGAGATCTCAGTTAAGGAGCGAAAGTTATGCTGTGCTGTCTTATACTCCTCAGTGTTATATATTTTCTGGGAATTCGTTTGGTATAAAATTTAGTACCATTCATATATTTAGGATGAATGATGTTTAATGTTAGAAAATAAACCTATAAAGATTTCCAAACATTGAAAAAAAAATCACTCAACATTTTGAATTGAAAAATATAAGTTGTTGACAAAAACGATCCACGTATTAAACAAACCCTCAGTAATAATATTTGGAAGGACCTTTTGTACACACTCCTACCTTCCTAAAGGTCACGTATAATGGCAAATAAACTGTAAGTTTACAACAAAAGGATGCAGAAAACTTAGTTTGATACTATCAACAATGCACAATGAAGTGAATAAATTAGCGCTGAAACCAGTCGATACCGCTACTTATATTCCGATGTTGATGAATTTGAAATACTTAAAATTAGATAGATGGAATTTTATCCCGATTCTAAAATAGGCGTAAGATAAACGTCAAACTATCAATGAGTCTACTTGAAAAATCTCAGACATATTGAACTGATCATACCGATCAGGAATAAAATATCCCACTAAAAAGAAACTGAATATATTATGGAAATCCCAAAAAGCATTACAACTATCATTTTATCACGTGCATAAATTATTTGAGATATAAAGTAGGATGGAGCCCTAGAAAAGCCTTGATGAGGAGTATTTCCAAGACCATAGTCGTAGAACAATTACTGTTCATCAAACCAAACGTCCCATGTTCTTTCTTGTTCTACCGTTAAATTTTACTTAAACCATCTATACAGAGGCCAAATTCATGAAACAAGAAATGATAAGATTCAAAATCGATAACAAGTCATGTGACATGGATAGCCGGCATAACCATAGGATATAAAATTGTCACTTATAAAATACGTGAAACCCACCAATGGCAATCTCGAAAGATTTTGAATTCTCATCATATTTACGATAAAACCTTGTTCTATTTGATTGCTTAACCCAGACACGCATCAGAATTTCGATATGATTGGTTTAAAAATGACCTTGACCTGAACTAAACTATCTTGTGACGGGACAAGTTTTACACGTGACTTTGGGGTGTCTTGTTATTTGTGATGATATGCCATGCTTCTAAAAATGCTTCGATCACTTTGATTCTGCCCATGACGTTAAACTCAAGGTCACTAAGTAAACTTTATAAGCTGGCCTGTTAAACAAGATGGGAAAAAGAAGATACCAAGTCTGGATCGGCCTGGGGAATTCTCACGAGTCAGTAATCAGGATCAATCCCTTTTCTCATTCAAACATTATGTCTAATTATTGCTTTCTTTTTCCCTGTCTTATAGCGTCCAAACAAATATTTCTGAAAAACTTAGGTGTTTGAAATTATCCCATAGTTAATACTTTGCGTGAATTTACGACGCGCATAAGTTCTTTACAAAAACCCAAATACAATAGAGACAACTTTAATCCCATGAGCGGGAGTCATCCATGCACACTTCAAAATTATCGGTTGTTACTAACCTGGGTTTGTGATCTGTTGTTAACTGACCATTCACTAATGTAATTAGGGTCATTTAGTATCACAACTATGACTTTCATAACAAACGAAGCATATAGGGTTTCTGGCTGTAAATTTAAGGAAGGGTCTACCACATCTTCTTCAGGCTGTCTTCAATAGTAAAATAAATGTTAGTTTTAAACTTTTATTGTTATACTAGTAGTTAACATTCTTCTGAATCATTCATTTCAAATGAGTTTCTTACTTCATGCTTATTGATTCTTTTATCAAGATTCTGCCTCATTATATCCAATTATTACAATCCGTAAATAGTGTCATACAAAACACCAGCAATGCTCAGTCGGAAATAAAGTTTATCATAAGAATTAACCGTTCACTTATATGTTAATCTCTAAAACGAAATGAAAATCTTTCTTGTTCGAACATAAAATGTTTGCACGGTGAAAGTTACTTTTAAACTTTGACATATTCCTAATTTTTAGTATGGGGTTGTGAAGATTATTGAGTTTTTGATTGAGATCATGAATCGATCAATGTTAGACCATCATTAAAAACCTGGAAGGCAGTTTCATCCTAGTATGGAACTCCTCAGAAGTGCGCATCCACGAGTTTTTTGTCAAGTTCTTACAGTAAACTTTGAAGAGTACTAATCTTTTACAACATTCAATTTTTCGACGATGTTATAATCAAGATTTTAGTAAGTACTTAAAACAATCTGCCTATAGGTGGTCCTAACAGTGAAATATACAAATCAAAAATAACCACATGCGTGTTTCAACATATCTGATTAGCCGCAAAACTAATATTATTAGCAAATGCCCATTAAATTTCACCGATTTATGTCCACAAAATCAGAACATTTACTGTATCTAATGAAGCGTGCTTACGTGTTCGGTTATATGACAGTAGTGTATTAACACCATAACTCAATATAAATTTAAAATTAAAGAGTGTAGAACACTTGCTTTGTTCTTGTCAAAGATTCAGTAGCATAATAAAACCTACCTCCACGTCAGTTCATACCAGAAAATTTGATGCATTATTAAATTAACGAATAGTTCACGGTATTCTATAATCCTAATAAGATACATGTCTGAAGTTTGTGTTCGTATTACAACTGCACAATTCAAGATACATTTCACCAATTTCGCGCTACTAGATCTGTCAGAGACTGAATGATCTTTACACTAAGACAGTTTCTCATTTTCATGCAGTCCTGACGATATGCAAATAATTAATTAGAATTATATAATTATATTTATTCAAAATTAGAAAGCTGTTATCGCTGAAATAATTATTCTAATACCAACAACCGTAATAATTATAATGATAGGTTGAATTTGCATGAAATAAATGATGTGTCATTTATCTTTAGTTTGGTTTCTATCGCTTCAATAATTCATGCTTTCGATTATGAGTTCTAAAAATATAACGACAAAAAGATCTGTTTCTCTGTCAAGAATGTGAGAAAGTTAACTAAGTAAACCACATGGAATTCAATAAACAGAATGAAACAGTCAATTTATACGTATATGTGAATTAATTAAAATCTTGCTTGTAATAGTGAAGTGTTTAATATGATTTACTAGTGGTCACAGCTTACTCCATGGTGAAATTTGATCATGATTTTCTTCCAAAACATGCAATAAAATCAACCTCTGTTTTACAAATAAAAAATATATATCGAATATTAAAACTAGGTTCATCATCTAGAAGCTATGATATCTTTCAAAAAGTATTTAGAAGAGTTAAGAAATACCATAACAATCCTTTCTCACTCAGTGTTTAAACTGGACTGTTATTTGATATGGAATCTAGGGTCTGATTTTGCTATTCACTTATGACAATTATGTTACTGATATGATATCAAACGTTTCATTAGAATCTGATTCATTTGAAGTATTTTTCTTAAATTTATTAAGGGGTCCTTCTGTTATAACTGGAGATTTTCTGCCCCGTCACCATCGTTGTAACTCAGTAGACTTGTGTACCTGAAGAGTCGTCATTGCTATGTAAGCATCAGATCTTCTGAGTCCACAGTTTTACTATTTTTACTTGAAAGTTAGGAATAACTGCAACTCCTTGATCCTACTGCTTATACCGGAAAATGGGGACCACTAAAATTCCCACGATACCAAGTGAAAGCACGAAGGACTGGTACAATGAAAGTTTATTGACTCCAAAACTCAACTCCAAATAAGTCTTAAATCACGTCCAGAATCACAACAATAAAATTACATCCAAAATCACATCGTCCTTAGACCATTTATATACCAAATTTCACGTACACTTTATGATAACACATATGTAAAGTTACTGTAGAAAGCGTTAAATATAGTTCACACTTGTTATAAAGAACAAACTTTGTACTAAATTGACACAATAAAGTGTTGACCTTGAAATGTCACACTGAAAGAAGTTCGCACATGTCAACTTGGATGAAATTCATAATGAATTTATACGAAAAATATTGACCTAAAAAATGTCAATTTCTTATTCCGTCTTATCAGTTACTAATGTCAAATCTTTCACCACTTTCAACTTATATTTGCTTACTCTACAAGCCGTTAAATCTTTATTTTCAGGTCTTCAGTCACGAACAACAGAGGATGTACTATGAAATCACAAGCTTCTATTACTATAATGTATAACATTTAAATAA